AACACCTTTGCAGACTCAATCTGGAGATGTCAGCCCAAGTGAGTGAATAATTCAAGTTTGTTATGGACAGAGGATATTATCTCACTGCGTCACATTAGCTGGAGTTCACCTATTGTGAAGATGCTAAAACCAAATGGATCACAATGGTTTGTAAAGACTATTGCAAAGTCAATTTGGTAACAAATACAGATCCTTATTTGTTTCTGTGATTGGAGGACTGTATTGAGAGGACTGGACAAGCATAATTTGTTACAAAAATGACTTATTAAAGAGATATTGACAACTTCAAATTAACAATATGTTCAAAAACAAACAGGCTTTTGTCACCCAGGATGGACCTTATATAAAGTTATGCTATTCAGAATGAAAAATACACCAATTTTTTGACACTTGGCTAACAAGTTCATTGAAGGAGAAGGCAACTATGTTGTTTACATTGATGACTTGGATATGTTTAGCCAACCTGGGAATGAATTGGTTAATTGGTTACAAATTTGATCATAACCTTGGCTACAAGTGAAGTTGCCAAAGCAACAGTAATTTATTTGAGTCATTTAATAATCCACTGTTGGACAAGGCTAAGTAAACCCTAGGGAAGCAAAAATGAAGACTTTCTCAGGATTTCCTGTGCCAAAGGCAAAGCAGGAAATTTTGAGGTGTATTAGCATAAGTGGACTGTCAGACATTTGTTCCAAATTTCGACACTGTAGTACCTCCTTTCACAAGTTTGTTAAAGAAATGAAAGCAATTTGAATGGGGAGAAGAATGTCTCTTTGGCCACTTGAAAGCTGTATTGACTGCAGCAATTGTATTGACTACAGTATCTTTATAGGTAGAATCAAAACGGTAATAACGGGAAATTCTGATAGAAAATGAAAATGCCTCTTAAAGATAGCTTTTTGTTTATTTTCCTGTAGAGAGGTGTGATGAAGGCTGTTAACTTACTATTATTTGGAAACTTAGGTATTAAGGTGGAATAATGTTAAATTTTGGTTTCATCTTTTTTTTCTTATAAGGTGAAAAATTCGTGTTTTGATCAGTGATTCGAAGAAACCATATGATTTTAAGAAAATGATGAGCAAACCTCAGAAGGAGATTATTGCTAAGTTGTTTACTGATTTGGAGTTTACAACCTAAAGAGAGAGAGAGACCCAGAACCAGGTTAATTCAGAGATAAATGGTCTATAAGAATAGAAGTGCTATCAGTTTAACAGTCTCCACAATAGTCAGGACAGAAGGAGAGATGTCCTGAGTTGCTTAGCATAAATCTCTACAAGCAGCATACTGTGGACCTGCCAGGGAGGAAAAGATCCAGCAAGGTTGCTGAAAACATGAGTTTAAGGAACACATGCATGGCAGTAATAATGAACTGAATTAGAAGCTTGTTTAAAGATCTGTAGAAGAAATGTTGATTAAGATAATAGCATTGAATGAATGTGCATAACTTGCTGAAAAGGAAACCAATTACAGCTGCACCAGCTGAACAGGAAGCTTTAACGTGGAGACACGGGTGATCCTTCGCTAAGATTAGTGTGTCTGTAATATTGTTGTTGGAGTAAGAGCATAGAACCTTTCCCTCAGAAAATTACAGTGAGTTTGTTCAAATCGTTCTTGTATACTTTAATATAGTTTGTGTGTTTATTTAATATTTTTTTAATATTAATTTGCTAAAAGTGCATTTGCTGCCTTTTGTAAATATGTTCAGTGACTGACCTCCACAGTAAATAGATCCTAAGTTCTGTTTATTCTTTCCGCCTATCAAGCCAGGCCTCACTCTGGGATCTGACTTGTTCAGTATTACCATCCGCTGGATAATAATATTATCTCTGTCTTAAATGGGAGATGCTTTATATTTAAATTACTGTCTAATTAGAGTTCCTTTCATAAGATTAAACATCCTCCCAGCACCTTGTCAAGTCTTTATCAGAATCTTATACATTTCAATTAGATCACCTGTCATTCTTCTAAAACTCAATAGATATAGGCCTAATCTGTACAACTTTTCTTCATGAATTACTCATTCCAGGAATCAATCAAGTAAACTTTCTGTAAGCTACTTCTCAAGCAGTAATATCCTTTCTTAAGTGAGGAGATTAAAATTATGCATGGCATTCCAGGTGTATTCTCGCCAATGTCCAGGACAAATGCAGCAAAATTCCCTTATATACCATTCTCCTTTTTAATAAACAACAACATAGCATTTGCCTTCATCATCACTAGCAGTAAATGTATGCTAACTATTTGTGATTCATATACCAGGGCATGCAGATCCTGCTGCATCTCAAAGTGCTGCAATTTCTTTTCATTTAAATAGTATACTGCTTTTTGAATGCTCCTGCCAAAATGGCCAGGTTCACATTTTCCCACATTACACTCCATGTGCCAAATTTTGACTGTTTGACAGCAAATCTTCAACAGCATGATCTTTTTACTCTTCCACTGGAAAATTGCCATTCTTAGGTGTCTGAAATAAAAAAAATCGTAGGGTAATGTTGTGTTAAAAACAGAGGAAAAAGTAGAACACCATCTACAGCTTGTAAATCAAAAGTGATTGTGAGATATGGGAGGTGAGAAGGAGAATTAACTATGAGGAGTCACCTTTTGTTGTTTCAGCTCCATCAGTTGCCACAGCTTGAGCTTTGCTCTTTTCATAATGGCCAGCACAATCTCTGCTGTGTGGATATGAACATCCATGCATGCAGCTCCACTTCCAGTTAGTTCCTGCTGTCCCTGGTTGTACTCTACCTTCTCCTACAGGAAAGTGGGAGAGGGATATAGACAGGCTAAGTGAGTGGACAAAAAAACGTGGCTGATGGAATATCATGTGCGAAAATGTGAAGTTATGCATTTTATCAGGAAGAATACAAGAGCTGGATATTATTAAATGCAGAAAAACTGCAGAAAGCTACAGCACAGAAGGATTTGGGAGTGCATAAACCATGAAAAGCTACCATACAAGCTCAACAGGGAACAGGGAAGGTAAATGAAATGTTGCTTTTGTATCAAAGTGAGTAGAGTGTAAAGACGGGGAAGTCTCACTAAAATTATACAAGGCACTAGTTGGACCACATCTCAAACTGTGAAAAGCTTATGTAAGGAAAGACAAACTAGCATTGGAGGCAGTCCAGAGAAGGTTCAGAAAGTTGATTCCAGGTACGGAGATATCTTCTTGAGGAGCAGTTGTGTAAGTTGGGCCTGAACTCATTGGAATATAGATGAATATAAGGCAACCTTATTGAAACGTAAAAAATCGCTAGGTTACTTGACAGAGTAGGTATAGGGAGGTTGTTTCCTGTTGTGGGGCATAGTCTCAGAATTAGATCAGTTAGGAAGACACAAGGAGGAATTTCTTCACTTAGACTGTCGTAAATTTGTGGAATTCTTTATTGCAGGGCTGTTGAGGCTGAATTGTTAAGTATGTTCAAAATTGAGTTAGATTTTTAATTAATAAGGGAATCGAGGGTTATAGGGAAATGGCAGGAAAGTGAAGTTGAGGATTATCAGATCAGTCATGATTTCACGAATGACAGGGCAGACAGTGGGCCAAGTTGTCCACTTCTGCTCCTGTATCTTTATATTATCAGAGTGTTGTGTCGATTTTTTGTTTCTTTATTCATGGATAGTAGGCATTGCTAGTTAGGCCAGCATTTATTTTGACCCAGAATTACTAATGTAGTTCCAAGGATGGTGAGTGGTTAGGAGAGGCAGGTAGTAGTGTCCTTGTGTATCAGCTGGTTGAGGCCATAGTTTTGAAGGTGGTCTTCAAGGAGCCTTGATGAGGTGTTGCAGTGCATCCTGCAGATGGTCCACGCTGCTGCCACTGTGCACCGGTAGCACAAGTAGTTCTCCTATAATACGATAGTTGCGTTCTTGTGTGACCTCACACTATAGACAATCGCCATAGAAAATTGTGTTATAGAGAAATCGCTATACCTGTGCAGCAGAAAGTTCGCATTAGGCAAACAGCCAATTCGCATTAACGAAATACGTGTTACAGCGGAACTACCTGTAAACGGAGTGAATATTCAACATGTGAGACGGTGTACCAGTCAGTTGGGCTGCTTATTTGGCTCATGTGCCAGAGAGGGCAAGCTGACAGTATGTGCAAGATATGAGTTCAGCACAAACTGGGAATTCAACCTGTGTCTATAAGATGCACTAGGGACTGAACCAGACGGTTGCTGTGGGGCAGTGATGGGTGGGGGAATGGAGATGGTAGGGAGGGGATCGGTGGGGGGAGTGCTGGGGTGGTGCAGGGAGAGTTAGGAAGAAATATTGTGTCTTACATGATATCAAAATGTGCTAAAGTGTTTTACAGACCATAATGTACTTGGAAGTGTAATCTCTACTCTATTAAAGGAAACATGGTGGCCAAATTGTACACAGCAAGCTTCTACAAACAATTTGATTACGACTTAGTTATATAATGTCGGTTGAGGGACAATTGTTGGCCGTGTTTTTCCTTTTTGAATAGGGTCTTGATAAAACATTCCCTGACAGTAAGTACAGGCGGTTCTCCTATAACAAGATAGTTGCATTCTTATGTGACCTTGCGCTATAGAAAATTGCCATAGAAAATCGTATTACAAGGAAATCACTCTATAAAATTGCTGTGCCTGCACAGCGGAAAATTCACATTATCCAAACAGCGTCCACTGTTCGTCAATCGCGTTACAGCCAATTCATGTTAATGAAACACGCATTATAGCAGAACTATCTGTATTCCTTTATTATTGCACGAGGAGGACCAGTCTTTATTTTGTGATTTAAGGCTGAAGCCCACTCATTCTGAGGCTATCAATTGAATTACAGTTGACGCACATATGAACCAAGTTGGAGGCTGGGGGAGTTGGAAAGGGGGAAGATGAACCACATTCTGTGCATATTTTTATTAGTTCATGGAATGTGACACCGTCGCTAGCTAAGCCAGCATTTATTTCTGTTGTAATGAATGCATTTATTGAAGTTTGATGAGTTTTCCTGTATCTTGTGCACTACAGGTAATCCAGCAAGCTCTGCACCGACAGCCCAGTACTGCAGCCCAGTATCTGCAGCAGATGTATGCGGCACAGCAGCAGCATTTAATGCTGCAAACTGCAGCACTCCAGCAACAGCACCTGAGCAGCACACAACTGCAAAGTCTGGCAGCTGTCCAGCAGGTGAGATGTCACGTTCAAAGGCCAGGGAGCAATAACTTGGGAAAAATTACATTGGTGGGAAAGAACAAAAATAACAACATAAGAAATAGGAGCAGGAGTAGGCTATGCAGCCCCTGAGGCCTGCCCATTCAACTAGGTCATGACTAATCTGCTACAGGCCTCAACTTCTCTTTAATGTCAGCTCAGCATAGGTATCAACTCCTTAATATTTCAAAAACTATTGACCTCATCTTTAAATACTTACAGTGATCTAGCCTCCACAGCTCTTTGGGGTTGAGAACTCCAGGCATTCACTACCCTGTGGGAAAAGAAATTCCTTTCCATCTTAGTTTTAAATGAGTGCCATCTTATTCTGCAGTTGCACTCCCAAGTTTGAGATTCCTTCACAAGTGGAAGCAGCTCCTCAATATCTATATTGTAAACCCCCTGACAGAATTTTCTATGTTTCAATAAGATCACCCTTCATTTTTTCAAACTCTAATGAATACGGTTTAGCTATTCTTTATAAGCCAACCCCTTTGTCCCAGGAATCACCCTAATGGATCTCTTTTGAACAACCTCCGTTGTCAGGATATCTGTTTTAAAGTGGAGGGCCCAAACTGTGAACAGTATTCCAGATGTGACCTAATCAATACCCTGTACAATTAGATCAAGAATTTTTAAACTCCAATCCCCTAACAGTAAAGGCCAAAATTGCATTTGTCTTCTTATTAATTTGCTGCACGTCTCTACTAACTTTTTGTGTCTCATAGACAAGAACACCCAGATCTCCATTGCACTTTTTAGGAATCTCTCCAGTTTAAATAATAGTCTGCCTTATGATTTCTTCCTACCAAAGTGCATAATCTCAAATTTTCCCACATTACGTTCCATCTGCCAAGTCTTTGCCCTCTCACTCAACCTAATTATATCCATTTGCAGATTCCTTAATTCGTTATCACAGCATACCCTCCCACTTATTTTTATATCATCAGCAAATCTGATTACATTAATCTCTGGCGTCTCCTCCAATTCATTAATATAGATAGTTAATAATTGAGGTCCTAGGACTGACCTTTGTGCTATTCCGTTAGTTGTGTCTTTCAAACCTGAAAAATACCCATTAATTCTGACTTTGCCTGCTGTGTGTCAACCAATCTTCAATCCATGCTATTACATTACCCCAATACTGTGAGCTCTTGTGATACATTGTGCCATACGCTTTCATCTGTTATCTTATTAAATGCCTTCTGAAAATCCAAATACTCTAAATTTACTGCTTCCCAGAGTTTATCAACTCTGCTTGTTATATCCTCAAAGAGCTCTAGCAAATTTGCAACATATGATTTCCCTTTCTCCAAACCATGCTAACTCTGTTTGATTGCATTCAGCTTTTCTAAATGTCCTGCTATTTCTTTCCTCACAGATTTTGGTATTTTCCTAATGACAGATGCCAGGCTAACTAGTCAGTCGTTTCCTGCTTTTTGTCTCTGTCCTTTCTTGGACAGGGGCATGACATTAGTATTTTCCAATCTGTTGGAACTCTTTTTGAATCCAGTGAATTCTGGAATAACTTCTGTGCACATATGGTCTGAAGTCTTTGGCGGTGTACCAAATCAGTCTATCTTACACCAACCTTTCACTTAAATTCACTCGAATGTATGTTATCAGTTCCTCTAGCGAGGTTTACATAATTGAATCTGTGTAGTAACAATGTGAATTCTAAAATAATGGGGGTCATTTTGACTTTGGTGGTGTAAAATTGTGACATTAATTCAGATTTAATAACAGATGAAAATCAACAGGAGAGATGTAATTTTTTTTATCAACCTGTTCAGATGTGTTATACCTGGGAGCAGGTAGGACTTGAATCTGGTCATCCGGCTCAGAGGCAGAAACTCTGTGTTACTGTGTCAGATCAGTGGGACACATTCAAGAAGGAGATAGCAAGAGTAGAGGCCAATATGTTCCAAGAAGGATAAAGGGTGGAGCTAACAGATCCAGGAAACCCTGGAAATTGAGGAATATATGGATTGGATTAAGAGAAAATGGGAGGTTTATGGCAGATACCGAGGGCTCCAAACAGCAAAAGCTCTAGAGGGTTATATAATGTGCAAGGGAGAATTCAAAAGGAAATTAAGACAGCCAAAAGGGGGCATGAAAGGATAATGGCAGGTAAAATATAGGAAAACCTTGTTATTTTGCGAGTGGTATTTTGTATATGGAGCTGGAGGACGTTTGTTATTCATTGACAGGATGTGGGTATCTCTGGCTAGGCCAGTGTGTATTGCTCATCCCAATCTGAAGTGACGTGCAGGACAGAACAGGTAAGGCAATTTCCTTCCATAAAGGATGTGAGTGATCCAGTTGGGTTTTTCCAACAATTGAAACAGTTTTATGGCTATCATTAAACTCTTAATTTGAGTGTTTTTTTTAACTGAATTCAGCTTCCACTATCTGCCATGGCGGGGTTTGCAACCTATAGTTAGGGTTCTAAATGAATGTTTTGTGCCAATCTTCACCAATAAGAGGGATGGTGTGAGTATAGAAATCAGGGAGAGGGATTTGATATAATTAAAGAAATTAGTATAGACAGGAAGTTTTAGTGGTCTGACCGGCTTAAAAGTAAATAAATCTCCAGAACGGGATGAGATGCATCCTAAGCTGTTGAGTGAGGCAAGGGAGGAAAAAGCAAGGCCCTGGCTATAATTTTCAACTCCTCTCTATCCACAGGAGAGGTGCCAAAGGACTGGAGGACAGCCAATATTCAAGAAGAGAGGAAGGGATAAACTAGGAAACTACAGACCTGTCAGTTTACTTCAGTATTGGAGAAACTGTTGGAAGCAATTTGGATGGTCAGAAATAATCTGCACTTGGATAAGCAGGGATTAATTAAGAACAGTCAGCATGGTTCTGTTAAGGAAAGATCACGTCTGACCAATTTGATTAAATTTTTTGATCAGTTGTCCAGGTGAGGGCAATGAATTTGATGCAGTCTACTTGAACTTCAGCAAGGTTTTTTATAAGGTTCCCAAAAGGAGACTGACAGCGAAGGTAAGAGCACTTGGTTCCCAGGAAAATTTGGCAAATTGGATGGAGAATTGGCTGAGTGGTAGGAAGCAGAGGGTGATGGTCGAAGGGAGTTTTGTGACTGGAGGCATTTGTTCAGTACACTCCTGCAGAGATCAGTTTATGGTGTACATAAACGATTTCAGTTTGAATGTAGAAGGCTTAATCAGTAAGTTTGCAGATGAAACAAAACTTTCTGGTGTTGTAAATGGTGAGAAGGGTAGCCTTAGATTACAGCAGAATGTAGATAGCTGGCCAGATGGGTTGATCAGTGGCAAATGAAATTCAATCTGGATAAGTGTGAGGTGAAGCACTTGGATAGGAGAAACAAGTAAGGGGAATACATGATAAATGGGACCCTGGAATGCCCTGCCAATCAGAGGGACCTCGGTGTGCATGTCCACTAGTCCCTCAAGGTAGCAGGACAGGTAGATATAGTGGTAAAAAAGGCACATGGGATATTTGCCATTATTGGTTTAAGAGCAGAGAAGTTATGCTGGAATTATATAAAATGTTGGTTAGGGCACTGTGAAAGTATTGTGTGCAGTTCTGGAATGCACATCATAGGAGGGGGTGCAAAGGTGACTGACCAGGATGTTGCCTAGGCTGGAGAGATTTAGTTATGTTGAGAGATTGGACAGATCCCTTGGAACGGAAGAGACTGAGGGGGGACATGATTGAGATGTATAAAATTGAGGGGCGTGGATAGAATAGACTGGAAGGAACTTTTTCCCCTTGGTGGAGTGACCACTACGCAGGGGTCATTGATTTAAGGCAAGGGGGCAGGAGGTATAGAGGGAATGCGTGGAATTTTTATTTTAATTCCAGCAGGTAGAGGGTATCTGGATCTCACTGCCTGTAAAAGTGGTAGAGGCAGAAACCCTCATAATGTTTAAAAAGTATTTAGATGTGCACTTGCAATGTCAAAGCATTCAAGGGCCAAGTGCTGAAAAATGGGAGTAGAATAGTTAGGTGCTTGTTTTTTTAATGGTATAGACTTGATGGGCTGAAAGGCTTTTGTACACATTCTCTACTCTCCCAATGTGATTCATTTCTTTGTGACATACTCATTCAGCAACTGCATCTGTTGTTCTGAAAGGTTCCTTCATCTTGTCACTGAGCTTTTAATATCCCTCCATAACCTTCTTCTGTTACTAGCCTTTCAAAAAATGTCTTCACACAGCGAGTGGCTTGCGTTTGGGACATATTGCCTTGATGTTTGGTTGGGGGCAGGTTCAATTGAGGCATTCAGCAGGGTATTGGATGTTTATTGAAATATAAACAATGTACATGGTTACAGGAAAGGCAGGAGTTTTACAATGTGTCAAAATGCTCAGAAAACTGATGTAGACACAGTGGGCGGAATGGCCTCCTTCTGCACTGTAACAATTCTGTGATTCTGTGAAAAGCATGAATTAAGCATTCTGATTTATGACTAACAAGGGATTCAGAAACAAGGTAACCGACCCACTTTATTGGCCACTGGGCTCTTTTCATGCACTGTGCAGGTAACTGATTATTCTTCATACTCCATTTTCAGGCAGGAGGGCGTCAGTCTTCTTCACCTACAGGGAGCATCAGCCAACAATCAAGTGTGTCACAAACCTCAGTGAGTCTCAGCAACCTTCTTGATATCTTAGTGCTAATTTCAATGTAGGTCTTTGTCAATTTTTTTGGACCCACCTTTTGAACCAACTGTCTGTGGCTGAGATTTTTAACAAGAGGTTTTGTTACTTGTTTTATTTTCTCCATAGTTAAGTGCTTTAAAGAGCGTGTGCTTCAGGATCCTGTGCTCCCAATGGGGAACTAATTTTGAAGAAAATACAGATTGGCAGCCCATAGTCTATCTAACAGTTAAAATGAACAGAGGGAAAATTGAAAGATGCACAGTCACTACTTCCTGGAAAACTCAGCTTCTCACAGGAGGCATAACATTGTGAAATTGCCTCTTCAGTGGTGTGGTATGGCAGGTTTTCTGGACTTGGGTTAGATGTAGAAGGACTCATTCAGTCTACTGATCTTTAACTGAGCAACTTTTATTTTGAACCGTAGCATGCAGGTGTTTTCCTAAACTGTTTCAGCCCCACAAAAATGAACTTCCCCTTTCTAAGTTTCCAGTGGGTCATATTGATTTCTTAAAGTACATTGTCTCATTTCTCTTGTTACATGAGTGACTATTTTAATGTAATCTCTCAATTGTTTAGATGGATTTACCTTTATCCCCTCTCTGTTCATTATGAGTTGTGGCAGCATATGGCATATCCACAACAAAGAATGGTACTGCTCTGCAACGTAGGAAGGGCAAGAGACTGACCCTGGATAATTGGCTCTGACTTATCTATCCCTCCAATTGCATTGTTGTCAACCCAGCTAAGGCTACATTCTCATTCATAGAGTCACAGAGTTTTTACAGCACAGATAAAAGGCCCTACAGTTCAACGTGTTTGCGCTGATTATCAACTATCTAACTCTTCTAATACCATTTTCAAGCACTTGGTCCGTAGGCTTGTGTGCTACAGTGTTTCAAGTGCTCATCTAAATGTTTTTTAAATATCTTGATAGTTCCCGCCTCTACCATCCTTTTAGGCCGTGTGTTCCAGATGCCCAACATCTTCTGGGTGAAAATACCTTTCCTCAAATCCCCTCCAAACCTTCCCTTAAAATTGTGCTCCATGTTATTGACTCCTCTGCTAACAGGAAAAGTTCCTCTCAATCTACCCTATCTCTTAACTTGGTACATCTCAATCAGGTACCTCCTCAGCCTTCTCTGCTCTAAGGAAAATAACCCCAGGCAAATTAGTCTGTCTTAATAGCTGATTTGCCCCGGCTCAGGCAAACTCCTGGTGAGTCTTTTCTGCACTCTCTCTAGTGTAATCACATCCTTTCTATCATGTGGCAACTAAAACTACACACAATAGTGCAGCTATGCATAACCAACGTTCTATTCAGCTCCATCAGAACCTCCTTGATCTTGTATTCAACGTTTTAACTAATAAAAGCAAGCATCCCACTTGCCTCCTTAACTAGCTTATTACCTGTCCTGCTGCCTTCAAGGATCAATGGATATGCACACCAAGATCCCTATGATCATCGATATTTCCGAGGGTCCTACCATTCATCATATATTCCTTTTAATTGTTAGTCCTCCCAAAATGTATTGCCTCAGACTTACCGTTTAGGGAGTTTTCTTTATTGTTTTGTGAGATGTGTGTGTTACTGGCAAAGCCAGCATTTGTTGCTCATCCTTAATTTCTCTGTAATGTAGTGGCTTGCTAGCCCATTTCAGAGAGCAGCTATGAATCAATGACATTGCTGTTGGTCTGGAGTCACGTGTCAGGGCGGCAGATATTCCTTCTCTAAAGAGCATGAGTGAACCTGGTAGGTTTGTTTTATGACAATTGATGGTGGTTCCTTGGTCACTATTACTGACACTAGTTTTATACTCCTTCACCTGCAGTGGTGGGATTTAAAGCTTTGTACATTAAGCATTGGGTTGAGCCTCTGGATTACTGGTGCAGTGATATTGTCACAATGCTACTCTCTCCACACCACCCCAACCCAAGCCACTATTTTATCCTTTTACATTAGATCACTTGTATGGCCAGATCTGGTGAAGTAATGCAGACTGTGTCATAGCCACTGTGTTCGAACTTTAATTTGCTTCATCTCATATCGATGCTGTTTAGTTTGGATTTGTCAAACCCATTATCCAGCTCCTATTGCTTACATCATTCCACCAGTGGACTTGTTTCCGACATTACAACACTTCATAAGTACTTCATTAACTGCAGCGTGGTTGTGAAAATAGCTATCTTGAGTGCAAGTCTGTACTTGAAGACTCACAAGTAACTGAGTTTGTGATTTTCTTGCTAGGATCACAAATAACGATGGTCGTGGTAAAGATCCAGTCCAGCCTGTTCTTCATAATTATCACCCCTTCTGCATCACAGCTGATGCACCCAGGCACTGAGTTGGGAGAGCTGAAAAACCTATGACTAATGAGGGGGAGCAAAATCTGTAAATATTTCTTCAATCCTGTCGCTGATCAAAATGCATACATTAGAATACTCTGACCCTGAGTATTGTTATGTGATATTACGTCATATATAAGCATAGAATTTATATCAAGTTATTTACCTTAGTTTTGTAAAATGGTGAGTTATGCACCAGCTGAAAATATTCACCTCTCCTTGAAGATTTGCGCTTTTCCAGGTGTGGCAAGTTGAAGCATTCTGGAATAACAAAGTATTTTCACATCCCTGTTCTCAACTCTTTCAGTTCGGTTCCACTTTGCATATACTCCCAAGACAATCCTGAACAAAGTCAACCACTTCTGTGACTGTAGTTGTGGTGATTTTCCCATCTCGTCACACTTGACATCTCTCCAATTCCAGTCTTGGTCTGATCACACTGTGTACTTGCACTGTCTTTCCTAAGTTTGATTCATTTATTGTTGTGTGTACTGAAGTGCAGTGAAGAGCTTTATTTACGAGCAGTGCAGGCAGATCATAGTAAGCAAGGATGTACAGATCAAAAAGACTTAGACAGAGGCATACAGGTTACTTTGCACAGGGCATGCACTAGGCGAGATCAATGTAAGCAAAATCAGCATTATTTGAGGCTAGAGAGTCCATTCATCAGTCAAATAACAGCCAGGAAGAAGCTCTTCCTAAATCTGCTTTTGCATGTGTGCAGGCTTCTGTATCTTCTGCCTGACAGAAGAGGTTGTAGGAGATCATTACCAGGGTGCAGTGGATCTTTGATGATGTTGGCATCCTTTCCACGGCAATGGGACGTGTAAATGGAGTTCATGGATGGAAGGTTGGCTTTTGTGATGCTCTGGGCTGTGCACACAACCTTCTGTAGTTTCTACCGTCCTGGGCAGAGCAGTTGCCATACCAGGCCGTTATGACAATGTTCTTTCATGGTTTTACATTTATCTGTCCCAAGGCTGTCAGTGCACCCCGGAAATTGCTTATTCTCCAGCTTTTGCAGTCACTGCTCCAGTTCCCCAAGGATCCAGTCTTAGCTCCGATCAGATTCTGCCCTGTCATACTAATTATCCTGCACAGAAGTTTATTCTGGTTTGCGTCAGGTCTTAAGCAATCAGTCGTCGCCTCAGCATTCCTGGCAGTGAATTCTGTTTCCATTCCTAAATATTTACCCTTCATGGCCCTGTGGATCTATCTTTGTCTCCTGTCTCACTTTCACATCTACATATTCTCCTATGGACTTAATTGATATGAATGCTAATGACTTGCAACACTCTGCCTCCAGCTTGACCATCTCAGTGATTTCACACCTCAAATTTCAAATCTAATGTTGACCTTGCTTTTTGTGCACCTTCTTTGCAGCCTTAACTTTGTATTCCTCGCTCTGTTCAATCACCCTATGATCTTTGTATGTTGTGATCTGCCTACACTACACATAAAACAAAATATTTCCCTGTACTTAGGTACATGTGACAATAATAAATCAAATAAAATCAAATCAAAGCTCTTTCAAGCCAACAAGAGGTGTTAAAAACCGTACTGTTTGTCTCTATCAAAAATACAGTTTCGTTAACATCCCTGGTATTTCCTCCATGCCTACTTGTTGATGCAGATGGCATTTTGTTCAAATAATCTGTATTTAAGAAGGGAGGGAGAGAGAAAACAAGGATCTACAGATCTGTTAGCTTGCCATCAGGAGTAGGGAAAATACTAGGATCTGTTATCATGGATTCAATTATTGGATATTCAGAAAATAAAGGTCTGAATGGAAAGAGTCAGCATGGATTTATGAAGGGAAAGTAACGACAAATGGATGGAGTTTTTTGAGGATGTTACTAGCAGAGTTGATAAGGGAGAGCCAGAGGATATGTTACATTTGAATTTTCAGAAGACTTTTGATAAAATATCGCACAAGAAGCTGATAAAGAAAATTAAATTGCATGAAATTGGGGGTAATACGCCAGCATGGATTAAGGATTGGTTAACAGGCTGAAAGCAAACAGTAGGAATAAATGGGTCATTCTAAGGTTGACCAGCTGTGATCAGTGATCAGTATCTGGACCCGTCCATTCACAATCTGTGTCACTGATTTGGATGTCAGGGGTCAATTGTAATAATTCCAAGCTTACAAATGAAACAAAACTTGGTGGAAATGCAAGTAGTGAGGACGATGCAAAGAGGCCTCAAGAAGATCTAGACAGATTGAGTAGCAAGAACTTGTCAGATGGGATACGATGTGGAATATAATTTTGTAGGAGGAACTATGTTGCAGAATATTTCTTAAATGATAAGAGATTAGAAAGCTTTGATGTCCAAAGGTACCTAGGGTGTCCCTACTCAAAAGTCCCTGAAATCTGGCAGGCAGTTGCAGCATTCAATTCAGAAGGCAAATGGTATGTTAGTAAAAGCAACTTGCTGCAAATGCTGGAAGTCTGAAATAAAAACAATAAGTGTCGGAGAAACACAGCATCTGTGGAGAGAGAAACGGAGTAAATGTTTTGAGTTTGATATGACTCTTTTTCAGCTCTGTTTTGAAGAAGAGTCATATCAGATTCAAAACATTAGCAGTTTCTCTGTCCACAGGTGCTGCCAGATGGTATGGATGGTCTTTATTGTAAAAGGATACAGGAGCAAAGAAGTCTAACTTCAAAAATGTTGGTCATTTGTGAGACCCACACCTGGCATATTGTGGGCAGTTCCAGTCCCCTGCCTAAGGATGGATATACTTGCCACAGAGGAAGTGCAGCAGTGGTTCACTGGACTGGGTTCTGGGAAGGTGGGACTGTCGCAGGAGGAGAAATTTAAGTGACAGTGCCTGTATTCTCTGGGATTTAGACAATCAAGAGGTGATCTCATGGAAACATAAAAGAGATAAACAGTGTAGATGCTGAAAGGATGTTTCCCCACTATGGATCTAGAACCAGGGGACATAGTCATTTAAGATAAGCCGTTTAGAACTGAAATGAGAAGGAATGTCTACACTTGGTGGATTCACCAAATCTACCTCAGAGTGCTGTGGAAGTTCAGTCAATACATAATTTCAGGTTAGGGATTGATAGATTTCTGGTTACGAACTACACCAACTGATATGGGGATAGTGTGAATATGGCACTGAGATAGCTTATCTACCATATCTAGAATGGCAGAGCAGGCTTGATAGGCTGAATGACCTACTCCTGTTCCTAAACTCCTATTAACTCATCCACTGAGATTAGTGATAACAAGGTGTGGAGCTGGATCAACACAGCAGGCCAAGCAGCATCAGAGGAGCAGGAAAGCTGACGTTTCGGGCCTAGACCCTTCTTCAGAAAGAGATTAGTGCTTACTTTCAAACAGTGAAGCAAACTTCTGTTCAGTAGAGTAGAATTTACAGCAAAGAAACAAGGTCGTCCAGCAGGCCTGCACTAAAATTCATAGTCCATGCAAAATTACTCTCGCCCATCTTTGCCATACTCTACTCAATGTATTCATTTATTCTTTTCTTTCTCATGGTTGTATCTGGTTTCACTTTAATTAATTTAATACCACTCACCTCAACATACAAGTGAATATAAAAGTTTTCCCTATGGTAGCGAGTTCCACATTTCAATAACACTTTCAGTAAGCAAATTTGTCCTGAATTGTCCATTATTGAATTTCTTAATAACTGTTTATATTTAGGGTTCTGGTCTCTCCCTCAAATGGAAACATATTCTTTATGTCTACCCTACTATAACTTTACGGACCTGTATCAACCATCTCTCATCTCTAGTGCAGAGATTGCCTAGTCTGATCAATTTTTTATTTGAATGGTTGTTATTTGATTCTGCCAATCATAGCTTGGTTGGTAGCATACTTAACCTCCGAGTCCCAAAATCCTGAATTCAGGTCCCACTCCAGGGCACAGAAATCCATACTGACTGAGGTACTGACGGTATGCGGCATTGTTGGAAGTCTTGTCTTTCAAATGTGGTGTTAAAAGAAGGCTCCAGCTGCCTTGTTTTTTGGATCTATAATATCCAGCAGAACTATTTTGAAGAAGAGCAGAAGAGTTATACGCAGGTCTTGGGCAATAAAGACAACTGTGCCAACATTACAAAAAATTATAATATGGTCATTGATACTTTGCCATTTGTGTGAGTTTGCTGTGTGCAAAGTGACTGCTGTGTTTCCTCCATTACAACAGTGACTATACTTAAAAAAACATTTCACTAGCATAAAGTGTTTTGAGACTTGTTACTGTGAAATGCTGAATCCGAATGCAAGCGTCTCGTTTTTCTACACTTTGCTCATTTCTAATATCATCCTTAGAAATCTTCTTTGCATTGCTATTGGTACCCTATATGTATCTTTTGTAATATGGGGACAACTGGACTCTGTCAAGTATCAAAATATAGTTTGTCCTTTCTAACCAGATGATTTTAATGTTAGATAACTCAGTTATACTTTAAACAAGCTAGGTTCAGAAACTTTATGAATAATGTTTCATTTCAGTTTTGTGTGCAACACCACATCCAATCCTTAATAGACATTTGGGTCCTGTTGTACAGATTAACCTCTCGGCATCTCCTTCGGCTACTCAGCTGATCAGCCGTGCTCAGACCGCCAGCACTTCAGGCAGTGGAATCACCCAGCAAGCCATGCTTCTCGGCAACACCACCCCCACCCTCACAGCAAGCCAGGCGCAGATGTACCTCAGGGCCCAAATGGTAAGTAGTACAGCACAGGAATGGAAGTGCAACCTGCCACAATGGAAAAAGTGCAGAGTACGGAACACCTCATCAATCAATGAGTCCATGTTTTAAAGTATTTTGGCAGCCTTTTACTACATTTATTGCTAGGTTTTTGTCGTTCCATTTATGGTGGTTATGCCTTCAGCTACCTTGTCCCTAATGCTCGAGAATTTCTTATCTAAACTTCTCCACCATCTTCTGAGATTGTCCCAAAAACCCACCTGGTTAATTAATGCTCTTTAGGGAAGGAACTCTGTCATCCTTACCTGGTCTGGCCTAAATATGATTCCAGACCCACAGCTGTCCTCTGAAATGCACTCAGTTCAAGGGCAGTAAGGGATGGTAATAAATACTGGCCCAGCCAGTAACGACCACTTCCCATGAAGAAATAAAAAACAATCTTTTTGTGCTAGCTATCTGAATATTTCCTTAGTGTTTCAGTGTCAGATTTTGATTGGTAATGATCCTGTAAAGATCCTTGGTACATTGTATGGTATATTCTATGTTCTATGTTCATTTTATTATGTTTAATGGAGCTATATAAATGCAAGTAGTCATTAAAGATTACATCCTTGATTTAAGAACAAATCAGGCATACTTTATTTGAGAATAGTCCAATGCAAAATCTTCCCCTTCATGTTTTCACAGCCTTAAAACTATTTGAGAAGCTTTTTTTTGCTTGTTTTCATGGATTTGATTAATTTTCTCTCGTGTTCCCACTTACTTCCTCTAAGCTAACCTCTCAATTGTTTGTATACAGTCGCTTGGTGGTATAAAACTTGAACATTGTTGAAAATAAAGATACATGTTACCAAAGCTTTTCAATTTGCACTCATCAGGACAAAGAATGCCAAATTTCAAACAATCTCAGCAATTTATGTTACAGGAGGAAAGGATACTGACTGGTTGGCTTGTAGGGATGTTCTCGAATTTCATATCTTTGTACCTGCTGTTTCCTTATCTTCTCTATGTCTCTACAGCTGATTTTCACTCCCACTGCTACTGTAGCTACTGTGCAGCCAGATATTCCTGTTGCCTCCTCTTCCTCTTCCTCAGTGTCTACATCCACACAGGTGAGTTATTACTGACTGATATCCCCAAACACAGGGAACCAGAGAAACACAACAAAATATAACTTGCAACAGAGATAGTAAGAACTGCCGCTGCTGGAGTCTGAGATAACACAGTGTGGAGCTGGAGGAACACAGCAGGCCAGGCAGCATCAGAGGAGCAGGAAAGCTGATGTTTTGGGTCGGGACCCTTCTTCAGAAATGGGGGAGGGGAAGGGGGCTCTGAAATAAATATAGAGGGGGGGTGGCAAAAGCAGGTAGATAGTGGAGCAGGTAGGTGGGAGAGAAGACGGACAGGTCAAGGAGGCGGGGATGAAGCTAGTAAAGGTGAGTGCAGGTAGGCAGTGGAAACTGACATCTATTTCAAGCACACCTCCTGTCACCCACCTTCCTGCAAGAATGCGATCCCCTACTCAGAATTCCTCCACCTCCGCCACATCTGCTCCCAAGATGAGGCGTTCCACTCTCGAACATCCCAGATGTCCACATATTTCAAGGACCACAACTCTTCCCCACAGTGGTCAAAAACGCCCTCGACCACATCTCTTGCGTTTCCCGCACCTCAGCCCTCACACCGTCTCCCCGCAATAAAAACAAAGACAGAATTCCCCTTGTCCTCAAGTACCACCCCAATAACCTCTGGATTCAACGCATCTTTCTCCGCCACTTCCGCCACTTGCAATCTGATCCCACTATGAAGGATATATTTCCCTCCCCACCCTTATCTGCCTTCAGGAGAGACCGCGCTCTCCATGACTCCCTTGTCTGCTCCACACTCCCCACTAGCCCCACCATCCCCGGCACCTTCCCTGCAACCGCAGGAGTTGTTACACCTGCCCCTACACTTGCCCCCTCACCTCCATTCCAGGCCCCAAAAAAACTTCCACATTAAACAGATGTTCACCTGCACATCCGCTAACGTGGTCTGTTGTATCCGCCGTTCCCGATGTGGTCACCTCTACCTCGGTGAGACAAAGCTGAGGCTCGGAGACCGCATTGTAGAGCACCTACGCTCAGATCGTGACAAACAACACCTCCCAGTCGCGAATCGCTTCAACTCCCCCTCCCACTCTCTGGACGACATGTCCATCCTGGGCCTCCTCCAGTGTCACAATGATGCCACCCAGAAACTGGAGGAACAGCACCTCGTATTCCGCCTTGAGAGCCAATGGTCTTAATGTGGACTTTACTGGCTTCAAAATCTCCCCACCCCCGACCTCATCCCAAGACCAGCCTCCTCTCTCATCCCCGCCTCATTGACCTGTCCGTGTTCTCTCTCACCTATCTGCTCCTCCCTCCACACTGACCAATCCCCACCACAGCCTACCTACACTCACCTTTACTAGCTTCATCCCCGCCTCCTTGACCTGTCCGTCTTCTCTCCAACCTATCCGCTCCACTGCCTACCTGCTATGACCGCCCCCCCCCCCCCCCTTTTTTATTTCAAAGCCCACTTCCCCTCCCCCATTTTTGAAGAAGGGTCCCGACCCGAAACGTCAGCTTTCCTGCTCCTCTGATGCTGCCTGGCCTGCTGTGTTCCAACAGCTCCAAACTGTGTTATTACTTGCAGCATTCATTTATACATATCGTGACTCATGTTAGGATTTTGTTTATCTTTTAAACATAGACCTATATCTTCAGGAATAATTTTGACCTATTTAAAGCATGAAATTCTCTGCTAACAAATTAATTCCACAATGTGAATGTAGTAAGGGTCTTGTTAGAAAAGTTGATTCCTTCCAAAACAAAACAGTCCACTTGATAGACACCCCATCCACCAGCTCCTAAATTCACTCCTTCCACCCCTGGTGCACAATGGCAGCACTGTGTATCATCTTCAAGATGCAGTGCAGCAATTCACCAAGGATCCTTAGGCAACACCTTCAAAACCCATGACCTCTACAATCTAGAAGGACATGGGCAGCAAATGCATTGGAAGACCACCATCGGCAACTTCCCGTCCAACGCACATAACAAGCTGACTTGGAAATACAACAACCATTCCTTCATTGCCAAATTAGCTGTTAAATCATTTATTACTATGTTGCAAAAGCTACAGTTGCCCTCTGGGATGTGCAGTCTTTCAGTGAAGGTTATTTCAGTTTGCTTTTTCCCATCCTGGTGTAGCATTTCTCCCTGCCCCATTCTCCTGCTCACTGTGGAATGACTGTGAGTAGAGGTAGGGTGAGAGGAAATGTAAACTGTACAGAGTTCTGGATATCTCTCTCTTCTGAGAGAATGAGCATTCTCACTTCACTGTACCAAGACATCACTAGAACTCTTGTGACAGATGAAATAACAAAATACTTCTCTGCAGCTTACTGCTCAGCATTTTGCGCTCTCTAAATTCTGCAAAGCATATTTTGTAGATTTAGTGACCAACTTTAATAATCATAAAAATTCACAGACAGCAGAAGGTTATTCATCCATTGTGCTTGATGTTTGAAAGAGCTATTCCAATTAGACCCATGGCCATGCTGTTTTTGGATTTTATTCATTCCTGGCATGTGGTATCGCTGGCTGGGCCAGTCCATCCTAGTTGCCCTTGAGAAGGTGATAGTGAGCGCCTTCTTGATCCACTGCAATTGATTTGTTGTCAGTACCCCCACAATGCTGTTCAGGAAGAAGTTCCAGGATTTTGGCCGAGCAACACTCAAGGAAAACAGTATACTTCCAAGTCAGGATGGTGAGTGGCTTGGAGAGGAACTTACAGGTGTCTGCCATTTCTGTCCTTCTAGATTATGGTGGTTGTGGGTTTACGGTGCCTTGGTGAATTTCTGCATTGTATCTTGTAGGTGGTACATACTGTTGCTACTGAGCATTGGTGGTGAAGGAAGTGAATGTTTCTAGGTGTGGTGTTAATCAAGCCGGCTGCTTTGACTTGAATGATGTCAAGCTTCTTGGTGTTGTTGAAGCTTCACTCATCCAGGCAAGTGGGGAGCATTCCATCACACTTCAGTCTTGTACCTTGGAGATAGTGGAGAGGCTTTGGGGAGTCAAGAGATGAGTTACTTGCTACTTGATTCCTTGCCTCTGACCTGCTGTTGTATTTATATAGCTACTCCAATTCAATGGAGTCTGGTCATTGTTGAACCCCCAGGATGTTTGACCTTCAAAACCCTGCAACATTTCCCTTTCCAGGCATATTCATTACCTTGAATTTGGGTATTTTGATGATGTTCACAAAACAAGGAAGCATAGTAAATAAGGAAGCAGACAGTGACAAACGTCTGGAGCTCCTGGATAAACAGATTGGTGAAATAGGCAGACACATGTTAGAGTGAAATTAAGGCAGAGAAGTATGAAGCAATACATTTTGCTGGGAAGATTGAGGAGAGAAAATACTAAATAAACGAGAAACCAAAAGAACTGGTGATGCTGGAAATCAGAAACAAGAACAGAACTTGCTGGAAAAACTCAGCAGGTCTGGCAGCATCTATAGAGAGAAATCAGAGTTAACATTTCGAGTCTAGTGACCCTCCTTCAGAACTGATGGTAGCTAGGAAAGATGTTCGTTTTTATGCAAAAGAGAGGGTAGGGGGAGGCGGTAAAGAGCTAAACAGTAGATGGAGATCGAGCCGAAAGAGACAAAGCCCAAAGAGATTGAGCCCAAAGTTGGACAAAGGAGTGGATAACAGTCAACATGGGAGAACGAATAGCTGCTAATGGGGACTATTAGTGGCTATCAATGGGTTTTGCTGGGGATAACAAGGCCTGGTGTGTGAAGGAAAGCATGAGGAAGGTGCTCGAGCCCTAAAATTGTTGAACTCAATATTGAGTCCAGAAGGCTGTAGAGTTCCCAAGTGGAAAATGAGGTGCTATTCTTCCAGCTTGCACTGAGCTTTGTTGGAGCACTGCAGCAAGCGTGCAACAGAGATGTTGGCCAGGGAACAAGGTGATGTGTCGAACTGGCAGGCATCAGGAAGTTCAGGGTCTTTTTTGTGGACAGGACATGGGTGTTCTGTGAAGGGCTCACCCAGTCTACGCTTCACTTTCCCAATGTAGAGGAAACCACACTGTGAGCAGCAAATCTGGTAGACTAGATTGAGTGAAGTGCAGGTAAAGCGCTGTTTCACCTGGAAGTTGTGTTTGAACCCTTGGATACTGAGGAGGAAGGAAGTAAATGGGCAGGTGTTACATCTTCTGCAGTAGCAAGAAGGTGATGTGGGGCTGTGGGGGTCTGGTGTTGGGAGTGAAGGAGGAGTTGACCAGGGTGTCCCAGAGGGAGCAGTCCTTGCGGAAGGCTGACGAGAGAAGAGAGGAATGTGTGTCTGGTGGTGACATCTCGCTGGAGGTGGCAGAAATGGTGGCTAATGATCCTTTGGATTTGGATGCTGATGGTATGGTAGGTGTGGACAAGGGGGATCCTATTGCTGTTGTGGGAGTGGAGAGAGGGAGTGAAGGCCAAAGTATGGGAGTTGGGTCGGGTCGGATCCTGTCACCTACAGTGCTGGGGAATCCTCGTTGGGGAAGAAGGTGGACATTTCAGAGGCCCCCTTGTGAAGGTGGCATCATCAGAAACGATACGACAGAGATGGAGGAACTGGCAGAATGGAAGAGTCTTTACTGGAAGCAGGGTGTGAGGATGTATAGTCATGGTAACTGTAGGAGTTGGTGGATTTGTAGTGGATATTGGTGTCCAGCCTATCCACAGAAATGGAAACAGATGTCGAGGAAGGGAAGGAAGGAGTCAGAGATGGACCAGATGATGGTGACAACGGGGTGGAAATTAGAAAATGTTACCATTTCCAGATGGGAGAGGGAAGCAGCACCAATGCTTTGATACACCCAAGAAAGAGTTGTGTTTGTAGGCTGTAATAGGACTGGAACAAGAAGTGTACCACATACCCCAAAAAAGGGACAGGCATATCTGGGTCTCATGCGGTGCGGGTACCCATCACCACCCCTCTGACCTGAAGAAAGTGAGAGTTGTGAAAAGAGAAATTGTTCAGAGTGAGGACAAGCTCAGCCAGGCAGAGAAGGGTGATGATGGATTAGGACAGATTAGGTTTTTTTCCAGGAAGAAGCGGAGAGCCCTGAGACCATCCTGATGAGGGATGGACGTTTTAAAGTGATTACAAATTCATGATGAAGAGAAGGTGGCTGGAGCCCGCAAATTGGAAATTCTGATGTAAAGTGTCAGAGGAATCACGGACGTAAATGGGAAGGGAGTGGAAAAGGGGAGAAACAATCGGGTCAAGGTAGGAAGAGATGAGTTCTGTGAGGCAGGAGCAGGCAGAAACAATGGGTCTGTCTGGGCAGTCCTGTTTGAGGACTTTGGGAAGGAGGTAGAAGTGAGCTGTGTGGGTTTGGGAGATCAAATAGAAAATATAATTTAAAAGGGAATGCAGGAATCAAGAAATCTAAACAGTGTGCAAATGTAGATCTTTGAAGTTACTGGACCAATTGTGAAGTCTGTTAAAGGAGCCGATGTGTCGTTGGCTTTATTAATAGAGGAAATGAGAGTTTATTCTTAGTCTTTATGTGATGTTGTCAAGGCCTTAGCCTAATGTTCTTTTGTTCTATTCTGGGCAACACTCCTTATTAGCGTTTCAAAGACTTTAAAAGTGGATGTCAAGAAAAGGTACTAAGATTTTTAAAAATTCAGTCATGGGATGTGGGCATCACTACATTTATCATCCAGAAGGCAGTTAAGAGTCAACCACATTTATGTGGATTTATCATCATATTTAGGCTAGACCAGATAAGGACAACAGATTTCCTTTCTTAAAGGACTCAGTGACTCAATGGCTCAGTGGTTAGCACTGCTGCCTCACAGCGTCAGGAACCCAGGTTCAATTCCACTCTCGGGCGACTGTCTGTGTGGAGTTTGCGCGTTCTCCCCATCTCTGCATGGGTTTCCACTGGGTACTCCAGTTTCCTCCCACGGTCCAAAGATGTGCAAGTTAGGTGAATTGGCCATGCTAAATTGCCCATAGTGTCCAGGGATGCCTAGGTTAGGCACATTAGCCATGGGAAATGCAGGGTGACAGGGATAAGATGGGGAATGGGTCTGGGTGGGAGGTCATTGCGGACTTGTTGGGATGAATGGCCTGTTTCCACACTGTGGGGATTCTGTGACATCGGTAAATCATAGGGGTTTTACGACAATCAACAGTGGTTATGTGCTTTTTAATTCTAGATTTGTATTGAATTCAGTTTTACTATCTGCCGTCGTAGGATTTGAATCCATGTGCTTAGAACATTAGCTTGGAGTTCTAGATTACTAAGCGAGTGAAGTTACCATTATGCCACAATCTCGCGAAGAAATGAGGACCTCACGGTTAAGTGGAGAAACTGGTGTTGCTCTTCTTAGAACAGAGAATGTGAAGAGAAGACTTGGTACTGGGTTCAATATCTTGAATGGTCTCAATAGAGTAAAGAAGGTGAAATTGTTCCTGTTTGCTGAAAGGCCATAACCAGAGGACACAGATTTTTAGGTGATTGTCAAAGAACTGGAGACAACGTGACAAAAATTTGTTTTGATGCAGTGAGCTACGTCTGGATTGCGCTGTGTGGAAGGATGGTGGCAGCAGATTCAACAGTAACTTCCAAAAGGATATAAACACATGAAGGAGAAAATATTGTAGGAACATGCAGAAAGAGCACAGAAGTGGGGCTAATTGGATAATTGTATCAAAGAGACTGAATGGGTTGAATGGAGAAAATTTTAGCAAATGCTAAGGCGAAACAGGTTAGAACTATACTCACTGGAGTTTAGAAGAATGAGAGGTGATCTCATTGAAGCATAGGATTCTTAAAGGACTTGACAGTGTAAATGCTGAGAGGATGTTTCCCCTCATAGGAGAGACGAGGACCGGAAAGCACAGTCTAAGAGTAAAGGGCCACCAATTTAAGACAAATGAAGAGGAATTTCTTCCATCTGAGGGTTGTGATTCTATGCAACTCCTTGCCCAAGAGAGCTGTGTGGCAGAGTCCTTGAATATATTTAAGGCTGAAATAGATAGATTCTTGATCAGTAGGGGAATCATGGGTTACGGGGAAAGGGCAGGATAGTGGAGGTGAGGCATGCTGGATGAGCTATGATCCTACTGAATGGTGGAGCAGGCTCAAGGAGCTGAACAGCCTAGTCTTATTCCTATTTGTTATAGTCTTAAGGTCTTAAAATGGTGGGTTAGGGTGAGGTGGGTAAGAGGATTAAAGTCTTAAAAATCAGACCCGAACTTGCTGTTCAGCAGCCTACCTCTGTCTTTAACCAAGACAGAAAGGTCAGTTGTCACGGATGGCATTCACCAATTAGTTCTCTTACCAATTATCTTAAATCTGGGACCACTGGTTGTCCACCCTCCTGCCAGTGAAAATAATTTATCTTCATTTACTCTATCAAAACCCTTATAGGTAATACACAAGTATCTTTTCCTTTGCACAGTTCCATTTAATAACCATCTAGCTCGTTCATTCATGGTCATTTCATTGCTGTCCAGTACTTTGATCTTGTCTTTTTCATGTTTTTGGTTGTAGGTTCAGAATCTGGCCGTTCGGAGCCAGCATTCGGGTGCCTTACCTGCTGCATCCCCTCAGAGCGTCCCATTAAAAGGTACCTGTCAAGCACAGCAGCTCCCATTGAGCCACACAAAGCAAGCAGGGCAAGGAGCTGGCCTTAAAGCCAACCAACACGACTCTGCCCCTGAAAGCACCAAGAAAGGAGAGAGCCTGACCTCAGTCAGCCCCGAGACCCGGGTGTCCACTGTCACCAGGTTACAGATGCCAGCAAACACGCAGCAGTTAATAGCCCCTGGTAAGTGGCAGCAACAGAGCTAGTAGTGAGATAGAGGGGCAATTTTAATTTAACTGTGACATCTTGGAATTGGAATTCTGCTGAATCCCACTTTGTAATTGCACTGGTTTTGAGTCAGATTATTTGCAGCCAATGTTCACAAAATTGTTTATCTGTTTACAAGAAGCTTGTGTTAATTAATGTGCCAAAGGGAGGATACAACACAATTACTTTAGAACATAAGAAATAGGAACTGCAGTAGGTCATGCTCATGTGCACAATCATGCACAGGGGACTTGGATTTAAATCACACCCTGACAGTTGGTGGGAATTAAATCAAGATCATAAACCTTGAATTAAAAGCCAGACCCATTCATAGAAGCCCTACAGCACGGAAGCAGGCCATTCGGTTCATTGAGTCCACACCGACCTTTTGAAGAACACCCCACCCAGACTCACCCCCTACCCTGTCCCTGTAACTCCTCATTTCCCACAGCTAATACACCTAGCCTGCACATCCCTGGACACTATGGGCAATTTAGGATGGTCAATCCACTTAACCTTCACATCTTTGGACTGTGGAAGGAAACCGGAGCACATGGAGGAAAAATACACAGACGTGGGAAGAATGTGCAAACTCCACACAGACCAGGGTAGAATCAAACATGGGTCCCTGGCGCTGTGAGGTGGTGGTGCTAACCACTGAGCCACCGTGCCACCCCATGTTTCATGGTGACCATGAAACTATTGTTGTTGGTTTCAAAAACCTTGAGGGACAATAATCTGCAATCCTTACCTCGTCTGGTTTTCACATAATTCCAGATTCACAGCATTGTGGTGGAGGCTCTAGGGAACAGGCAATTCTGGACTTAGTGTTGTGCAATGAGACAGACTTGATAAGGGAGTTAACATGAAGGAACCCTTCGAAGACAGTGACCATAATATGATAGAATTTACTCTGCAATTTGAGAGGGAGGAGGTGGAAACAGATATAATGGTATTACAGTTGAATAAAGGCAACTATAGAGGCATGAGGGAGATGCTGACCAGAATTGACTGGGAGAGGAGCCTAGCAGGAAAAATAGTGGAACAGCAATGACATGATTTTCTGGGAGTAATTCATCCCTTGGAACAGAAAGCACACTAAAGGGAGAATGAGCTGACTAGGGAAGTCAGGGACTGCATAAAAGTTAGAAAGAAAGCACATGATGTGACAAAGGGCAGTGGGAAGCCAGAGGATTGGAAAGCCTACAAAGACCAACAGAGGACGCCGAGAAAAGAAATGAAGAAGGAGAAGATTAAATGAGGGTAAGCTAGCCAGTAATATAAAAGAAGATTGTAAGAGTTTCTTTAGATATATAAAGGGCAAAAGAGAGGCAAAAGTAGACATTGGACTGCTGGAAAACAATGCCGGAGAAGTAGTAATGGGGAACAAAGAAATGGCAGAGGAACTGAATAAGTACTTTGTGTCAGTCTTCACGGTGGAAGACACAAATAATATCCCAAAAATTCAAGAGAGTCGAGGGGCAAAGGTGAGTATGGTGGCCATCAGCCAGGAGAAAGTGCTAGAAAAACTGAAAGGTTTGAAGGCGGACAAACCACCTAGACCAGGTGGACTATACCCCAGAGATGGCTGAAGAGATAGTGGAGGTGTTAGTGGTGATCTTTCAGGAATCACTGGAGTCAGGGAGGGTCGCAGAGGACTGGAAAATTCCTAATGTAACCCCCCTATTTAAGAAAGGAGTAAGACGACAGACAGGAAATTATAGGCCAAGTAGCCTGACATTGGTTGTTGGTAAGATTTTGGAGTCCAATGTGAAGGATGAGATTTTTGAACACTTGGAAGTGCCTGGCGAAAAAGGATGAAGTCAGCATGCTGTCATCAAGGGGAGATCTTGCCAGACAAATCTGTTAGAATTCTTCGAGGAAGTAACTAGCAGGTTAGACCAAGGAGAGCCAATAGATGTTATCTACCTGGACTTTCAGTAGGCCTTTGACAAAGTGCCGCACAGGAGACTGCTGCATAAGATAAGGGCCTGTGGTGTTAGAGGCAAGGTACTAGCATGGATATAAGATTGGCTGTCTATCAGAAAGCAGAGAGTGGGGATAAAAGGATCCTTCTTGGGATGGCAGCCAGTGACTAGTAGTGTTCCACAAGGGTCAGTGTTGGGACCATAACTTTTCACTTCATACATTAATGATCTAGATGAAGGAACTGAGGGCATTCTGGCTAAGTTTTCAGATGATACAAAGATAAAGGGACAGGTAGCATTGAGGAGGCAGGGATGCTGGAGAAGGATTTAGACAGGTTGGGAGAGCTGGCAAATAAGTGGCAGCTGGAATAGAGTTATTTCATAGAATCCCTACAGTGTGGAAACAGGCCCTTTTGCCCAACAAGTCCACACTGACCCACAGAGCATCCCACCCAGACCCATCCCCCTATAACCCACCTAATCCACACATCCCTGCTACGGGCAATTTAGCATTGCCAATCCACCTAGCCTGCACATCTTTGGACTGTGGGAGGAAACTGGAGTACCCAGAGGAAACCCACGCAGACACAGGGAGAATGTACAAACTCCACACAGATAGTCGCCCAAGGGTGGAATCGAACCCAGGTCCCTGGTGCTGTGAGGCAGCACTGCTAACCACTGAGCCACCGTGCTGTGGGAAAGTGGGAGGTCGTTCAGTTTGGTAGGAAGAATAGAGACATGGACTATTTTCTAAATGGGGAGAAAATTCGGAAATCTGAAGTGCAAAGGGCCTTGGGAGTTCTAGTCCATAATTCTCTTAACGTAACTTGCAAGTTGAGTCGGTAGTTAGGAAGGCAAATACAATGTTGGCATTTATTTCAAGAGGGTTAGAATATAAAAGCAGGGATGTACTTCTGAGGCTATATAAAGCTCTGGTCAGACCACATTTAGAGTATTGTGAGCCATTTTGGGTCCCATACTTCAGGAAGCATGAACTGGTCCTGGAGCAGGTCCAGAGGAGGTTCACGAGAATGATCCCAGGAATGAAAGGCTTAACATATGAGGAATGTTCGAGGGCTCTGGATCTATATTTGATGGAGCTTAGAAGGATTGGGGGATGTGCGGGGATCTAACTGAAACTTGCAGAACACTGAATGAAGTTGGGAAGATGTTTTCATTGATAGGAGAGACAAGGGGATCTGAGCGCTCAGCCTTCGAATAAAGGGAAGACCCTTTAGAATGGAGATAAGGAGAAACTTCTTCAGCCAGAGAGTGGTGAATCCATGGAATACATTGCCACAGAAGGCTGTGGAGGCCAGGTCGTTGAGTATATTTAAGACAGAGATAGATGAATACGTTCTTGATTGTCAAGGGGATCAAGGGTTACAGGGAGAGAGTGGGGGAATGAGGTTGAGAAACTTATCAGCCATGATTTAATGGCGGAGCAGACTCACTGGGCCGAATAGCCTAATTTCTGCACCTATGTGTAATGGTCTTATGGTCAACATGATTAACTCTTAACTGTGGTCTGAAGTGGCCAAACAAGCCACATATCTCAGGGATAGTAGGAACTGCAGATGCTGGAGAATCCGAGACAACAAGATGCAGAGCTGGATGAACACAGCAGGCCAAGCAGCATCACAGGAGCAGAAAGGCTGACGTTTCGGG